TTTCGGTAATTAAATCAAGTAAATTGCCGTTGCATTAGAACAATTTTAGAACAATTCTGTAAGAAATATTTTCAGAAATACGTTATGAAAAATCGGCGAATAAAGATCAGAATTGTTATAAATATCGTCGATAGTACAGTTGTGAAAAAGGTCCGCCCTCCGAAGGCTGGAAGCCCTTTGTATTATACACAAATAATTTATACATAGAAGCAGAAATTCGTTACACGAATTATGTGATCGCACCGGTGGCAATTAGACCGCGGATTTTATGCATTTATGGCAAAACTGGGTACACACTTATAGTTTAAAATCGTAGAAAGGTTAAAGACATTTAAAAACACAATCGATTATTCTCAATCTATTAAAACGATTAAAGGAAGAAGGAGCTTGCTATTTAACCCTTTGCCATACCATTTTCTTCATAGTTGCAACGATTAGAAGTTTTTCGATTATAATAATTTCTAAAAAACAAGAAGACAATTTATATTTATCGTGTGTCTGTACATTTACTGAAATATTTAAATACTGACAAGGAGAAATCAGAATTTTATTCAGACTAAAAAGAACGGAATATTATTCATACTTAACAGATTATTACTACAAATGTGTCAGACTCGTCAAAGTATGGCAAGGGGTTAATCTCCATTCCTCGTAATTGATGCAGACAATTTTTATTATGCATAAAAATCCGCAATTTAGCGATGATATCGTGCAGGTGACATTTAAAACATTGTAGGAAGCCTATACAAAAATTAATTCCTCAGCTATGTCGTATAGCACTTTTTTGTCCATAATAAATTCCCTAGTAATGTCTCCCTAATTGACGCTCAGATTGTGCACAAAAATGAACAATTTGGAAAGAGGAGATACGATTGTTCGAGCCTTGCAGCTCGTTTTTATAATGTTGAAAATCGGTAACTATAAAAACAAGACGCAATGCTCGAATTCGCAAGGCTCCTCTTCCCAAATTGTCCAGTTTTGTGGACAATCTGAGCGTCAATTAGGGAGACATTACTGTAGAACGAAACATTTCAACGACAGAAGAATCAAATTCTGTTTTGTTTTAGAAAAAAAACAAATATCCCCTTCGCATTTAGTGGATGATGTACGATATTTTCATCACGAGCCTGCCTCGCGGTTGCGACGCCAAGGGGTTAAGGACAAACTTTCTTTCGATCGGCGCGTCGAAGGCGTTACTATGCCCGAAGTATGAATTGACATCGGACGCCTCGTCCCGCGGCAGCGATTTCCCCGAACCGATCGCGATTCAAGGATCGCCGGGGAAAATTCGAACGAACGCGCGGCGGGCCGCGTGCAATCTTTGATTCGTTGACCCCTTGTCGGCGGATCCGCGACAAGATCCGTCGATTACGTATGCGATCGGTGCGCCCGCGCGGTTGTTGCATCGTGTGCGACCGCATCGATCCGCATTCGAATCCGCCTGAGTCCCTCCACGCCGGCTTTCCGGCGCGGCGCGGCGCGATGCAACGCGATGCAACGCGATGCAACGCAACGCGTCGCGTCGCCTCGTCTCGTCTCGTCTCTTTGTTTGCACCTAGCGCGCGCTTTCGGACAGCCGGACCCGATCCGACGCTCGGCTCCTATTAAAATCCGCTCGTATTGTATTCAAATCGCTCGGAACTGGCCCCCCTACGGGCCCCCCGCGAACTCCGGGGACCGCGGTGCTGCCTCCCTAATGGTCCGCTCTCTTTATTAGTCGATCGTTACTGCTCACACGCGCCGAAATTGACGAACTTTGCGACACTTCTCCGGCGGAATCGTCCACTTCTGCGACAAACATGTCTTCTTTATTATTTAAATCTTCCTTCTCTCTACAAATTGTAAAATTAACATTCGGTCAGATCAAGTTTGACGTGGTTCTTCGATGTTTGAGAGGGTTTGGGTCATCGGTAGACTGCGGATTTGGCGAGTTTATTGGAGAAATTGAAGAAAGGAGACACGGAATGATGAGAACATTGGAAACAAATTGGCTAACATTGGCTATTTGAGAGGAACAAATACATTTTTATCTAACTCTTGTTTTGTACAATTGTCGGACAAAATGTTTATTTTGCATAAAGATCCGCAGTCTAGCCATCAGTTTGATTGTGTTCCGTCAGAAACGCCTGCTGGATTGACGAAAACCGGGAAAAGAAAATAGATATCCAAGATATAGGGTGGGTAGTTTCTTTTTGAAAAAGAATTTGACGCACGAATAAAGAAATTGTGTTTTAGGTGAAACTTCGGTTTTGATCCGGCCACTAAAACTTTAGTTGTCCCACCGATTAATTGTGAAAAATAATTTCATTCGAATGGCGCTGACAATTTTTCAATATCTTTTCGATTTTCTTCTGGCTCTATGTCGCGAATGCACTGATGGACAAAATTATAAGATACTTGGGAAATTATTAGTATAGGAGCTGAGTATAATACTTACGTGAAAATGCATTTCATGTAAAGCAAAATAATTTGTTACTAAGTAACGTTTTTGTAAATCTTGCAGGAGGTAACAAAAAATGTTCAATCTATATCAAAATGTCACCGCTAAAATTGTTATATCACGTTTTCCAAGATAATTTTTATATTTCATTATTTTTATATTATTATATTATATATATTATTATATTATTATTTTTATATATTATTATATTATATTATTTTTCTTTATATTATTTTTTAATTCTTACATTTTTTATTTATATCACCAAAGTTGGGATTTAAAAAATTGTATCGGATTTTAAAAAAGTGTAATTATCGCGCGTGTCACAAGATTCAATTTCACAAGCACTTGGCACTTCATTGCACTTCGTCTCATAAAATGAAAATGCTATACATGAAGAAAACTATTCGAGATTTACGATTAAAATAGCTTCGAGTGCAAAGAGTTAAGTTCCCATGCAAACAGTTCCCAGCGTATCTCGATCGATATATTTCCCGAAACGAAGCCACCGCCGAGTCGAATTCACCATCGGAGCAGCCGTCCGATAAGCGAGCGCCCGATAAACGTCCGCAGAGACTTTTTCGGGCTGGTCGGCGTTGTTAGAGCGGCGTGCGATGCTTAAGTACGAAATAACTAGGTATGCAAGTGCGGTATGCTGCACCGGAGGCAGCGGAGCAAGCGGGTGCCAGGGGGAGGAAGGGAAATGCACAGCGCGGGGGGAGAGGGGCGCGGGCGGGGGAGGCGGTGGAGGCGCGCTTTGTAGTTGCCGCGACGTGACGCAACTGCCAACTTAAGGAAAAGGTTCCTGGTATTGCGAGCGGACCGCGCTCGAGGTGGCGGCCGAGGCATCATCCTCCCTCGTCCTTTTCCCCGTCCCGCGCTCGCTCTCTTCCTCTGCGATGCCGTGCCGACGTCCAGACGACGACGGCGACGACGACGTCGAGGACCACACGGTCGGTCAACGACACGCTCAGGAATTACGCGATACCGCCCGAATTCGCGTGAGACCCGAGAGACTGGACCCACAATTCGGGACTCGGAGATCACCGATGTTCCTTACACGAGACTCTTCGCGACCGTGACGCTACTGGAACGAGCTATGACGCTGCTAGAGGGTCCGAGGCTTTATTAGGAGGGGGGTTGAGGCTTCATTAGGGGGGCTGGACTGTAAGAGACACCGTTGGACAGGTCAAGAAAGACTGGAGATTGGGAAATTGGGCTTGGAGATTGATAGAGTTCAGACTTTAGAAGGGGATTTGTTGTTGGGAGTGCCTTGTCCTCTAAACTGTTCAGGTTGGAGACAATTTTTGGTTGGTCGAAATCACCAGGGTCAGGTCTAGATAAGGTAGACCTAGCGTAGAACTAGGCTAAAACCATTTGGCGTCCCTAAGGTCTTGAGAAACTAACCAATTAACTAGGTGGATCAAGGTAGACATCAATATTTAGGGGATAACTTAGCAAAGCTACTCGCAGTAGCACTTATTAAAATGAGAAATAAGAATGGACCTACTTTGAATTAAAGGGACCAAAATTGGGTCCAGATAGACGCTAATATTTAGGGGATGCTCTAATCAATGACAATAGCATTTCTGTCTTGACAAGATTTTCTTACCAAAATGATCTGGAGAATCAAATGGAGCAAACTTAGGTCTAGGCAGACTCTCATCTCTAGGGGACACTATGTCAATGCGCTTATTATAGCACTTTCGTTATCCAAACACTTTTGAGGACAAGAAAGTTCAGATAAGAATAGATCTATTTTGAATCAAAGGGGCCGGATTTGGGTCCAGATAGACGCGAATATTTAGGGGATGCTCTAACCAATGACAATAGCACTTATACCATCCAACCAGTTTGACAAGATTTTCTTATCAAAATGATCTGTGGGACCAAACGGACCAAACTTAGCTCTAGGCAGGCTCTCATCTCTATATGACACTATGTCAATGCACTTATTATAGCACTTCTGTCATCTAAACAGTTTGAGAAGACAGTTCGAACAAACAAGGTTTGACCGTTTGAATCAACTGGACCAGGATTAGGTCTGGGTAGACATCATTCTTCGGAGGATGCTCTAGCACATCAATAACAACGCTACCTCTGTTATCCGAACGGTCGTTTGACCAAGTCAGTTCGAATAAAAGAGGATCCACTTGAAATCAAACGATCTTAGATCTAGGCTTACGTCAGTCTCTAGAGGATGATCTAGCAAATGGATTAGAATGGCGCCTCTGTTATCGGAACGGTCTGTAGAGCACGCCGGTTCGAATAAGAGAGGGCGACCCAAACGATCCAATTGCACTCCGAAAGGGATCCTTAAGTCGGGCTGGCACGAGCCAGAAGTGGACAAAGGTTGCGGCGCCGCGTCGATTTGATGATTGCTGTCTCTCGGAATCCGAGGGATTGGTTAATTGGCTGGTCGTCTGGAATCGTACGAAAGTTCCCCGTCCGTCCCGTGATACCGTGGTGCCCGTCCGAGTTCACTGAATCTTTAAGCGAGACACTCGGCCGCTAGATGTATCGGCTCGACTCAACGAATTGTTGGCTACGACTCTTGCAGGTGAACCGGCCGCTGACGATGAAGAAGGAGGGCATACAGACGCGGAACCGGAAGCTCTCGTCGAAGAGCAAGAAGAAGAAGGCCGGCGGCTGTCTGGGTCTCGGGGGCGTGATGGGCGACATGATCAAGGCCAGCGGACACCTGGACCTCGATAACAAGCCGTTCCATTCCGGATTCGGTTCACCCATGGGTGAGTTGTTTCGGCGATCCCCTTGGACAACAGCGAGAGGAGCCTGTGCAGAAGCTATGCTACACGGTCGGACGTTTCTGTTCGCAGGCACGTCGCAGCATCATCACACGATGCATCCGGCGATGCAGCATTACATGTATCACACGGGTGTCGGCGTGGCCGGAGGTCTTCATCAAGGATTTGCGCCACCGGCACCGCCCCCCATACACCCGCACTCGCACTCGCATTCCCATTCCCATCACATGACCAGTCTTCAGGGTCTCCAGCTGGCCGCGACCACGAACGCGATGGTGAGTTCATTCAATTTACTCTCTGTGTACGGCGCACGCCGAAAATAAAATTCTCTCCGACTTTCGGTGCTTCCGAGGCCGACCGCTTCTCTCCTCGACGAGTTACCGCGGTTTTCTCGGCGCCGATCGACGCGTCGTTCGATTCCCTTCAAAACGCACCGTCGCGCGCCTACCGGGACTCGATTGGTTCCAGGAATATTCCAATCTTAATTACGGGCTAGCATTTTATCGTTCGGCGAATTGGAATCGCGTCTCGGTCCGACGTAAGTCGAAATATCTCGAAAGCCGATCGACCCACGAGAAAATCGCTGGAGCAGTTTTCGACGGAGAATGAAACGACGCGTCGACTCACGGAGTCGCGCAACATTGGCGAGAGCTGGCTGTGACAATATTGCAGAGAAAAACCAGGGACGTTTGTTTGATTTCAGACCGGTTGGCGATCGGAGTACACATGAATCACGAGCGACCACCGGCTCGGGACGCATCCCGGCACTCTCGTTCGAGCGTAATCGAGTCGCGCTCCCCCCCTCTGCCCCCCTGCTCGAGCGCGGACCGGGAGGGGGCAGAGTCGCGCGAGAGATAGCGGGGAGTCGAGACCGAATTTTCCATCGCGACGATTCTCAACGTTTCCCCCTCACCCCCCAGCCCCTCCCAATCGTTTCTCTCTGTCCCCCCACCTCTGCCACCACCGAAATTTTCGCGGTCCCGCGTCGCTGTGTAAATATGTAAAGTTCTAAATCCAGAGGGCCTACGAGCCCCGGCCCCAAGTACAAACGAAGTCAGCTAACTTGTATCGAGTCTAATTAATACACTGTACATATTATACGAGCCGTAAGCAGAATATTTCCGAACGATCCCCGCCCCCACCAGCCCACCCCTCGAGCGCGATTCGCCGTTCGGGAAGGTTCGACGAGGTTCGGCCGTAGGCTCCGCCCACCGTGGGACCGGCGACACCGAGCTGGACGAAGGCGAGCCAGCGTGGAGCCCGGACAAAGCCCTGTGTGACCAGGTACCGTCGCGTCCGGAGCCGAGGTTGTTCATAGATTGTGGGAGGAGCGACCGGAAGTCGCCGGGGTATGAAGCCCCGGGGGCCCCGCGGAGTCGGTCCTCGGCGGCCAGTGGACGTTCTAGCGTGTAAGTGTGCTGTTATTCGTGCGGAATCGTCGCGAGAGACGTCGTGCAATCTTCAGAGTTTCGTATTCGGTCGCGTTCAAGCGCCCGGAGCCCGCGCGTGGGCGTGGCTAACCTTCCGATCGGGCCCGCGTGGGCGTGGCCAGCCTGCCGATCGGGCCCGTCCGCTCCGGACCTCGCCAAGCGAGCCGGGACGCGTCGTTTCTGAGCTCGTTTCGTCGCTTTCGGCGCGCCGGCTCCCCGTTCGCGCGAGTTTCGACAGGTTCGTGCTGGCCCGCGAAGCGGAGTTCGAGCGGGACCGTGGCGTCGACAGGCGGGACTAGTCCCCGAGCGTAATGGGAACAGAGTGTGAAGTAGCTACCAAAAAAAAGAGTGTCCGGCGCGGACCTGGACGGGAAGGCAACCGGAAGCGTGTAAAAAAAAAAGACCCGACGAGCGTTTAAAGAAGTGGAAAGAAGTGTTGTAAATTTTGTATCTTCGAGATTGCGTACCGTTATTGTACCGAGTATAAATATATAAATAAATAAATAAATAAATATATATATATATAAATAAATAAATCTTTATATATATATGAGAAATTGAAATATAAATATATATGTATAAACGAATATCGATCTATGGCCCCGCGGGCCACGGGAAAGCGGCCCCGAGGCAAATGCCGCGGGAGAGAGAGAGAACGCGTTGAGGAGGAGTGGAAAAAGTGATTGTGCATAAATTAGCGGTTAATTGCGCATCGTAAGATTTGCATCTAGATAGTCGAGCGATGGTAATTAAAACGATTTATCGCGAGCGAAAAGGTTAATAGCCGTAAATGACGATTATCGTTATTATTCTTATTACACACCTATTATCGTCGTCGCCGATCGGCCGTCGGCCGATTCTCCATTCATTAATCGTTCTAATTAATTAATTAATTAATCGCGAGGGACTCGGCCAAGAGATCGAGTTGACCACGAGCTCGAGACCGCGTTGTGATGATCCTTTCTGTTTGCCGATCGTCGGGACCGTTTCGGGGGAGACCGCGTGCGCGCGCGCGCAGATCGACGAGGATCGATCGCAAGCCGCGACCAACCCCCCGCCCCGCACCGATCTATCTATCGATCCCTCGCTCCGGTGAATCAAGAAACGTATCCCTCTTTCTACACCTTCCCGCCTGAGCTCCTCGAATAAAAATCGGTCCCGCGAACGAGAGGCCTCTGCACACACACACGTTTGCCCGCCGTGTTTCACCGTGTTTAAGTGCACCCCGAAGCGGGAGATCGACCGTGGACACGATCGAAGGTGCGTCGGGGCTGGATCGATCGCTCGAGCTCGCGGCGGGCCAAAGGGGCGGGGCCGGCGGGAGTGGGAGGGCTCCGGGGCGGAGCGAGCAGGTGAGAGGGGGTCGGCGACCTTGTGATTTTCCAGAGGAACCACTTCGAAAAAGACTGAAAAGTAAGAGTTCGCGAGCCCGCTCGACACCGGCACGCCCCCCGCCCACCTCTCCGCTGGCCACGCCCCCGGATTCTTCGTCGGACGGGTCCAGGGCCACGTGGACGAGGAAGGGGATGCGAATGGGGGAGGTTATTCTCGTAATAGTATTATTAGGGAGTAGCGTGTAGAGTGTTTGTATAAAGACGCTCGCGCGAGCGTGTGAGGCGTGCTATGGACTAAGTGGGGATTTTGGGGGCGGAGCGTGATTTAGCCCCGCCCAATGGAGCTGACGGAATGGAACAGCCGGTGGGGAGGAACGAGCGAGACGGGCACGCGCAGTTTCGTCGCGGTTTTAATTTCGAATGTAAAAAGCGTCATTGTAAGATATCGTTGTAAAAAAAGGTTTTAACTTAAAATAAATTAAATGATAATTCACGCATACGTACGTCTCCTGCGAGTCACTATCCTGTCATCCGCGGCGCCACCTTTCCTCGGGCTGCGGCAAGAAAAATTCTTCGGTGTGTAGACGAATTCGAAGGGTCACAGAGAGACTTAATAAACTAGTGTGAAGCTACAGGACTGCTAAAAAAAATTGTCTGGCTTGTAGAAACATTTTTGGTATCGTTATAAAAGCAGTGGGATCAATGGGAATATCGCTGAGTTGTAGTTCCATGTCCGACTAAAAAAATTGTAGAGTCCTTAAGAAAATTCCGAGATGTACACGAAAATTCTACAAGCTAGTGGAGAGGTTTGGCATTCGTTATAAAAATTGTAGGCCCAATAGAAGACATTTCAAGTCCGTGAAAAATTGTTGGACCGACAAAGGAATATCGATCGAAAATCGTAGGTCCTATAATACAATTCTACTACCCATTAAAAAAAATCTAGCGCCTGTAGAAAAATTCTGCGGCGAACACAAAAATTCTACGAACGAGTAAGAGGGTCTAGGTCTTACTAAAAAAATTGTGGAGCTTGTAGACAATTGTTGAGTCCATGAACAAAATTGCAGGACCAACAGAAACAACTCGGAGTCCGATCATCGGTTGCAAAATTCTAGGCTTCGTTAAAAAAAAATATAGGGCCCGGAAAGTAATTGCGAGGCTTGTAAAAAAATTCCAGAAGCACGAGAGAAGTTACAGGAGTTGTGGAAAAAATCGTGAGGCCCGTGGACAAATTTTCGGGCCGGCCAGAAAATCCTGTGGCCGGCGGAAGGATGCGCAGATCGGTAAGTAATCTTCCCCTTATCTAGGCCGGCGGCGAAATCGAGGATCGTTTTCGCGGCCGCGGCGACCGAGGCGCGGCGGTCTTATTAATTAACGGGCGCGACTCAATTAAAGCTTATCGGCTGGCAGCACGGCCGGCACGAGGCGTTTACGCGTAAATCAAAGACCGGTGCTTCGGATAGCGCGCGGCGAATAAATCTTGTCGCCGCGGCCGGGAGAGATAGCTATCGACGTCCGGACGGCGACGGGGCGCGCGGAAATCGAAACGGAGGCGGCGAGCAGCGCGCCCGGCCGGCGGAGAAATTTTCGGCAAGCGAGATTAATTGATCGAACGGCGTCTGAGAATCGACTGCGATACAGGAACCGGTGACGGATTCGCGCGGGACGAAACGGGAACGAGGCGATCGTTTTCAGTCGCCGGAGCTCGTTTCACGGTGAATTGAATCCGGATAGATTCGGGAGCAGAGAGGTCGAACCTAAGTCCCGTCAGCTGGCTAGAAAATGGCTGTCTCGGACCGATCGTAGGACGGTCGGATAATCGTCTCCCGAGGGGAGGGGGGCCTAAAGTGACCGGGATTTCGCGTAATCCCGTTTCCGGGGCCACGGGGGTCGCAGCTTCTCACGGGAAGAAGCGGCCGGCGAGTTTCCGCGCGAAGTCAACGGGACGCTTGCTTTCACCGGAGACTTCGGTGTTGCGGTTCCCCGCAGCTGTCCCCGGTTACCTGCCGGATTAAACCCGCGTGCGTCGCGTCGCGCCGCGTCGGAAAGTCGGATCATCCAGGTCGACTCGTGTACCCTCGGAATCGAGGCGGATCGGGAGTCTTTCGAGGAAGCGGAGACGGAATCGGGGTCGATCGACTCGGAAAATTGCGTCGCCGTCGATAATCTTCGAGTCCAGGGATTCGATTACTCGGTTAGTGACGCGCCGCTGGCCCGCGCCCGATTTCCCCGCCGTTTCGCAGATCGGTCAGAGCCGCCGGCTATCCCGGCGGACAGTATGTCGCTGGAAAATGGAGCGATTCACGGCGCTTCGTAATCCCTGGGTCGCGCGATCGAGGGGTCAGTCTCAGGTCGAGTGTGAAACTGAGGATTTGCCGGACCCGCTCTGGCCGAGAATCGCTGACGTATCGAGGGAGCAATCCGCGTGACAGCGTCGATCTCTGCGATACTACGTGGCCGAGGCTTATTGGAAAAATTGGAAGGGTCGAGGGCACTGTGCAGGGGTCCGCGAATAAATTTTGGCAGTCGTCGCGAAGCTGAACGATTTTAGGATGCGTCGGATAAACAGCAGGGCTTGTGAAGTAACAGCGATTCGTAGGAAAATTGTAGCGACCGTAGAAAAATTCCGAGGCTCGCAGAAAAATTCTAGCACCTGCAGAGAAGGAATAGTACTCGCTAGAAAAATCGTAGCGTGTGTAGACAAATTTTTGGGTCCGCCAAAAATATCATGGGATAATAGGATTATTATAGAGCTCAGGATCACGGGAGAATTCTGGGGCCTACTAAAAAAATTTTAGGGCCTGTAGAGAAAATCTGTGGTTGATACAAAGATTATATAAAGTAATGAGAAGCTGTGGAATTCGTCACAAAATTTTTGGAGGCTGTGGAAACATTTCTGCGTTGTTCAAAAAATTATGGGATCGACCGAATATCGCAGCGATCAACCAACAAAAGAAAAATTATGTGCTTCGCAAAAAAATTTGGAGTTTATAAAATTTTATAAGCTAAAGGGAACGTGTAGGAGTTGTCAAAAAAATCGTGGGGCCCGTAGACAAATTTTTGGGCCAGTCAGAAAATCGTCGGACAAACGGAGAAATGATAAAACTTAGAAAAATTCGGACGTCTACTAAAAGAAATTGCGAAGCTCACCAAACACATGCAGGGGCCACGGAAATTTTCTGGGACCTACAGAAACACGGTGGGGCCTAGTAAAAAAATTGTGAGACCTGTGGGAAAATTGCAGAGCGTGCAGAAAAATCGAAGAGGTTGCAGCAGCGAAGAATAATCGCGGCGGAAGCATTGTAGCGCTTAGGAGAGTGTTCGAGTCGATATTGTTGGTACGAATCACGTTCGAGAGCTGCTATCGATCGTGATTGGGAGCCAGGAGCAGACGGAGCCGTCGAACGAAACGAGACTGAGCTGGGGGCTGGCGGAGGTGCGCGGGGTAGGAAGAGGAGCACAGCGCGGGTGCATTGTTTCTGTGGGAGGATCTCGCGCATAACTTAGAAAGGGCTTGTACAGGTGTAAAGGAAGAATGCTCGTGTGGGTATTGTGGGCCCCGCGGAGTGCTCGGGGGATGAGGGGGGAGGTAAGGGTTGGAGAGGAGGCTGGCAACTCGCACAAAGGCGCGAGTTTCGCCGAGTAATCGTGCCCATTAATAACGATGCTGATCCACCTCCTCTCTGCCTCGTTCCTCTTCCTCCTATCCCCCTGCGACGCCGGTCCCCTCCCCCTTGAAACGCGCCGACTATTCCTCCAACACCGTCCGGAAACAATATTAGGATAGTCGAGGTTGTACATTAACGCCGTGGTACAACCCCATCGAGAGAGATCGTATTGTACTTAACAAGTGTTGTAGTATTCGATTCTAGAATCTTTTGCGAGGACTTAAAATTTATTTATGAGCTCTACAATTTTTCTGTCGACTCTAGTGTCACTTGGTAGGCTCTAGAATTTTGTTCGAAAGCTCCAGAATTGTTTTGGTAAGCTCTAGAATCATTTTGGTGTGCTCTAGAATTTTTTGGTGAGCTCTAAAACTTTTCTTGGTGAGCTCTAGAATTTTTTGGCGAGCTCTAAAACTATCTGATGAACTGTAGAATAATTTGGGAAGTTCTAGAATGTGTTTGGTAAGATGTAGAATTTTTTGGAAAGCTCTAGATCTTTTTTATGTGCCCTAGAACTATTTGGTGAACTCTAGAACGTTTCGCTGAACATTAGAATCTTTTTGGTGTGCTCTAGAACCATTTGGTGAACTCTAGAATGTTTTGTTGAGCTTTAGAATTTTTTTGGTGAACTCTAGAATTTTTTTGGTGAGCTCTCGAATTTTTTGACGAGCTCTAGAACTATCTGATGAACTGTAGAATAATTTGGCAAGTTTTAGAATGTGTTTGATAAGATACAGAATTTTTTGGAAAGCTCTAGAATCATTTTAGTGTACCCTAAAACTATTTTCTGTACTCTAAAACGTTCTGTCGAGCTTTAGAATCTTTTTGGTGAGCTCTAAAATGTTTTGGCGAACGCTAGAATTTTTTGGCGAGCTCTAGAAATTTTCTGGCGAACTCTAGAATTGTTTTTGCGGCACCAGACATTCGTCCAGAGTACAATCGACCAGCACGTTTATCGGTCTTCAGACAGATCGATTCGAAGGTACCGCGATCCGCTCGAAATTTCCTTATCGACCGGTCTGCCCCCTCGGTTGATCTTATCGGGCCGGAGGAATTGGATTAACAGGATCAGCCGTTGATGCGATTAATCCGGTGGACGTGTATCGTTGCCGATCGAACGGCAAGCTTCCCCCTCGATCGACAAAAGGAACTCGAGGAGAACAGATTGCGAGGAACGGAGAAAGCTGAGGAAAGAGAGAGGGAGAGGGACGTGGAGGAGGTGCCAGCGAGATCAGAGGAACCGATCGAGAGATCTTCTCGTCGGAAATCGAGCACGAGGGCGTCTGCAAGGCGTCGATGCTTTCATACCTCGATTCTGTTTCGTTCGACGCTGCACTTTTCTCGGCTCCGCTCCGCGGCGAATCGATTGACACGTGCTGCGCGCCAATTGCAATACAATTCGTAATACAAGAAATCATTTCCTGGATATGACTCATTCGCTCGAAATATAACAGCGTCGTCGACGCCTGTTTCCATTGATTCAGAAAATTTTTATACTTTGTGTCGAACATAGAACACCAAGCAGCAAAATTGTGAAGTTCGTAAAAAAAAACTAGAGCTCGTGCAAAAATTCTTAAGATTGCCAAAAAAATTTGGAGCCCACCAGAAATATTTTAGAGTTCGCCAGAAATGTCCTAAAGTTGTCCAGAAACATTTCAGAGATCACAAAAAAATTTTCGAGCTCTCCAAACAGTTTTAGAACTAACCGAAAAAGTGTAGAGCTCGCCAAAAAATTCTAGAGCTTATCAAAAGTGTCCTAAAGTTATCCAGAAACATTTCAGAGTTCACCAAAAAATTGTCGAGCTCTCCAAACAGTTTTAGAACTAACCGAAAG